AACTGTATGAAAGGGTTGTGGCGTTAAGAAGGTTGAGGACCACTGACCTAGAAGCATTGCACCAAGTGCATTCAACAAATTTATGAAATAGACAACTCTACAATAACAGTAGGTGACTTCAATAGGCCACTTTAAATTATAGACAAAATACTAAAAATAAGATTACTAAGGACAAAAAATAAATTTAGCCTGCTCTGTTTGGTCCACCATGTAATTAACTCACCCCGAATGTGAGGACTTGGGATTAGACGGCTTTCTACAAGTCTCTGACCATCCTGGGGGCCGGGGCGTGGGGGGATCAGTTGGGGGGCAGCAGCGGCCAGGAGGGGCTGGCTCGCCTGCGCATCATGGCTGCCTGGCCTGCAGTTTCCACCCTGAGCGTCCCTCCCAGGCCCCCCAGGCCCGCAGCTGGACTAACGACTGACATTGCACTTCCCCCCACCCGCACCCCCTGCTTGGTGGCGTCAGTGCAGCAGCTGCTGGAGGATGGCGTGGACCCCTGCGCTGCTGACAGCAAGGGCCGCACGGCCCTGCACTTTGCCTCTTGCAACGGGAACGACCGGATCGGTGAGTCCAGGCTTCCTGCTAGAAACCTGACTGTCTTAGCATCCCCCAAGGAAGTCTGTGATGCCTTTTAAACCACGTTTGTTCCACCTGGGAGGTGTAAAGAGTCCGCCAACGTGAGGAAAACCTTCCACGGAGACGGGTGACACTGTGCGCTCAGACACGGCGAGGACTGTGACAAGGGCCCGGGCCAGGCCTTGTTTCATGCTGTTTGTGCAGCAAGGGGCCCTTGTGGGCTGGGCCAATCGTGGCAGCTAGCCATGCCAGCAGTGGTATGAGCTAGGGGCTAGGGCTCATCCCCCTGCCCACCATGAGCAGCCACCTGACCCAACTCCAGTCATTGAAAATGCGTTTCTGTTCTCCATCAAAAAAACTTTTTTTTAATCATTATTAATCGGGAGGGGGGGATCTTACAAATTTTATAACAATCCATTATTCAATCGTATTAAGCACACTTGGACAGATGTTGCCATCAGCATTTCCAAAACATTTTCTTTCTACTTGATGGCCACCAAATTTTCATGGAAGGAACTCCGAGTTAATAAGAGGCAGAGGGGTCGAACTAGCTTTGGTCTGTTACGCCATTGATGCCCCTAGCCTGGTTGGCAGGGCGGTGTGGAGGTGGCCATGCTGGTAGGTCTCAGTGTGGGGCATTTGCAGCATTTCCAAGTGTGCTGCAGGCAGTTCGTGTAATCCCCGGAGGTAGAAATACTATCACGTACTGATGAGAAGCTGGAAGCCTTGGAAGGGAATAAATGATAAAGCCATGGGGGTGAAGGCAGCAGCCAGGTGGTCAGGCTAGGATCCCATCTCAGGTGGGTT